GGTAGGATCAGGTAGGATCAGGTATCACATCCAATCTACAACGGGGGCATTTGGGGTCCCTGCGGATTTCTGTTTTCCTGAGATGCTGGTCGTCCATCAGTTTAGGGGAACCGTTGGATATTTGTGAGACTTTCGGGCGATCTGGGCGGTCTGGCGGTCTGCAGACGTCATGGATGCTTTCAGGGATATCAACATCCCACGAATCTTTGCTTTGGACCCCTGCGGTTGATGAGTAAAACCTCCTATTTGGAGATGTAGAAGGGAAGATGTCGAACTCTTGGGCGCCCAGGAGCATACATGGCAGTCCTCGCGCGACATGGGGCCATCGTTTGTGCCTTGTCAAGCAAGTTCTGTGCGACAGGCCACCTCGGGACATCCAAGGACGTTAGGAGGTTCACTCCAACGGATCGTTCTGGATTCTTCATTTCAAGCATGATGTACAGCAGGAATGTTTGACTCCACGAATTACTAACGACGCTACTGTATACATTTGCACCCAAGTCTGAGGCTCACATTTGGATTGTCGCAAGCCAAACCGCTCACTAATCTGGAGACATCGACTTCTTGTTTTGCTGAAAAAAACACATTACTGTATATACATTTGTTGCGCTTGGGACTTGGGAGCTGAAAACGGAAGTGTTGAAGGAGAAGTGAGCGGTTAAGGGTTAGCGGCTCAAGACTCGATGCATCAATTCATGTGGATGGCCTGAAGGCCAGAAGGAATTCACTGGAGTTCAACCTCACATATCTTTTTTAAATATGTAACAAGCTCCGACATCAAAGGGAAGTACTTCTATCAAACCAAACCTTAGGTTGGAGGCCACTACTACTAGTAGCAAGGACGCGATTCGGTGGAGGCCATCGCTACTAGGTTGGAGGCCACTACTAGTAGCAAGGACGCGATTAGGTGGAGGCCATCGCTACTAGGTTGGAGGCCACTACTACTAGTAGCAAGGACGCGATTCGGTGGAGGCCATCGCTACTAGGTTGGAGGCCACTACTACTAGTAGCAAGGACGCGATTAGGTGGAGGCCATCGCTACTAGGTTGGAGGCCACTACTACCAGTAGCAAGGACGCGATTAGGTGGAGGCCATCGCTACTAGGTTGGAGGCCACTACTAGTAGCAAGGACGCGATTAGGTGGAGGCCATCGCTATTAGGTTGGAGGCCACTACTACTAGTAGCAAGGACGCTACTGTATTAGGTGGAGGCCATCGCTATTAGGTTCGAGGCCTTCACAAGGACTCTATTATTAGTGTTGGGCGGATCACCCGTGTTTCGTTGGTCTTTTTTTTGGACGAACGGCCTCTTAGGCGGCCTCCATGCAGCTGAAAGCTATCGAACCATCGGGACCTCCGGATGAAGAGTCCAGAGGAGTCTGAGATGGTCGCGTTTCGACGGAGAAACCATGAGAATTAAAAACATCTCTTAAACTCAAATTGGCTATAATAAGGTCCGTTCTCTTGAAATAATGTCAATTTGCAAGTTTATAAGCACCCCGTTTAAGCTGTTGAGACTCAGGCAACAAGACTGGAATTGCTTTGTTCACTGCAGCTGTCATAGGTGGCCACACACACAAAAGGCATGAAACAAAGCATGAAATGAGTGACAGTTTCTTGGCAGAACGACCCCCCTGGGCTTTGCGGCTTTAGATTCATCATGTCATTCTGCCCGAAGAAATGGCCCAATCCTGGCCAGAACTCACGTGATCCAACGCACCTTGCACCAGGCGGTGGTGAATTGGCTGCAATGAAACAGAATTCAATCCTGTCGACGCTCAGAGAGACCAACGAGTTCTCCAGGCGGGATCCTGTCCGTGCTGCGTGTTCCCTTCAAACCGATCGAATCCCTCTGTCGACACGGTGGGCTTCCTCAAGAGATGCCCTTCAGGTGCCAGGGTGTTTGACAACTTATGAGTTCAGTTTATTTTTCTTCCAAGTCGTTGGGTGACCGGAGGCCAAAGGATCAGAACAAAAGTGACGACTTGCCAGTTTAGATCAGATTGGATGAAACATGATTAAACTGGCGCAGATCGACTTCCCAAAATATGAATTGCAAACAATACTCCATACACAGCACTCAGGTGGAATTTGACAATCAAGCGGAAGACCAGTTTCATTGGTTTACCCAAGAGGTCATTGTCCCGTTCGATTTCAGTGAGTTGGACTGCAACGGAAGTCTACAAAGGGATCTTCTTTGGATTCAGGACCACCAATCGACCCCTTTTGAGTGACATCATACTCTGAAGTGAATCAAATTGTTTTTCCTTGTGAGAGTAACATGGACGAGACTTCTAGCTGTTTATCAAATATGTTTATCAGATCTTTCTAATGAGTTCATCGTTCTTTTTGTGAGATGCTTCACACATATGGTCTCGACGTCTAGACTTGGTCAGACTGTGGGCCGTTCGCACAGCCATCGGAGGCAATCCTCCCCGGGCGAACAGGCGAGCGAGAGCGGGTTGGGGGAGTGTTGGTGGTCCTAGGAGTGGTCCCTGGCGAAAAGCACCAGTGAATCGAGAATAGGAACATCGAGAATCGAGACCGGCCATTTCAGAGCAGTTTGTGAGCTCAAACGGTTCACCTAGTTGAGATCTGTGCAAACGGATGGCAAGACTTCTTTTTTTGGAGGTTGGGCAAATAACTGCTTGACATTCTTATACCTTCTTAATACATGCGCTCCTTATATAATTTCTTTTTTAAGAAGGGCATTCTTATACTATTGGGTTGGAAGCCATCACTATTAGGTTTATATTGGGCAAATACATGCGTTTTGACATTCTGATAAGGCCACAGCCTGTGTTCTGTCAATGTTGATTCTGTAGGTCCGCTGTAGGTGTTGTTTGAACATGAATTTGACTTCGCAAGGGTGGGTGATTCAGTGATTAGTGATTCCTACCTCAGTTCTTCCCATGATATAGACAGTTAAAATATCATTGACTATAGATCTACACACGAGGCACGCAGCCTTGCCAAGTGTGCCATGGAAATGCGTTTGTTTTGGCCCTATGCTCCGATGCGTCCTCCATTTTGAGCTGAACCCCATATTTGCCAAGCAAGGGATCCAAAGAATGACAAAGAGGATTGATCGTGTTTTGGACAAATTAAAACGAAGCAGCTTTCTGATAATTCTAGACATCTCAGATCATACTTGGTGTGTTTCGATTGCCTCTCCCTCTTGACTGCACCTTATCGTCAGCCATCCCTCCAGTTTGACTGTTTATGCATGCGCTTGAACGTCCATTATTGTGTTTTGAGTCCTCTATTGATGCAAAAGGCCGGGGGATGGCTGGTGGCTGGAACCCTCTAGTACAGTGTTGACGTCTTCAAATGCTACTATATGGCATTATAGTCCTGATGAACGCTCTCCCCCTCACATCTGACGTCCGTAGTTAGGGATGCATGGGGATGCTGTAGTTGTGTTGTGGCCCCACCATTAAAAAAGCACCCACCGCTCGAAACACCGGTTTTGGCTGCGGGCTTCAAAGGTGTTGTATGTCACCTTTTTCTGGGTTGTGATCCTAAGAACCTGGCCTTTCATGTGGTACGTGTAGCTGCAAGGCTGCAAGGATAGCTGCTTCTGGAAGATCTCTGAAAACCGCACAACTATGACATGCTATGACTGATTCGATCCAACCACAAAAGATCGCACGAAGGGTTCGATCGTTGTACATGGTTTTACTGCGTGTGTGTTCCTTTCCAATATTAGACTTTACAATACCTTGCAGATCTTCAAAGGAACCTCCTTCAGTGACCACCGGTGGCCAGGAAGAGTTGAAGGATTTGACCACCTTCAGCATCAACAAAGAGGCTCGATAAGTTGCATTTTGCTGTCAATTAAATAGACCAACTGCTTTGACGGGGCTGCCAAAGGTACAATGGCAAGGTAAAACTTAGGGTCAAAAGTGTCGGAATGTCTGAAGTCTGAAACTTTGGGACTGTCCAATGCAGCTCTTTGGTCCCACGTGGATGGGACCTCTACTAGCTGGGGCTCAGTAAGTGTTGTCCACGTTCGCCCTTTGCAGACCATGACGTTACCCATGCATGACTACTGTAGCAGTGTATGAGCGGATTCCAATGGCTTTTTCCAAGCCCTGCAAGCCTCACTCAGAAAACACTGCAGTACCGAATCTAACACCAGTTGTAATGTATACATTGACATATATACATATATATATACTATATATAATGGCCATTGCTTCAAGGACAAAGCTTGGAATTGCCAGTTTCACGTGTTCCCGGGATGAGTTTGTGTTACATTAACCCCAAGGGTTATTTATTATTGGTCAGGGCCTCAATCAGGCCAATTTGCAATATGCTACTGACTGCTGTTCATAATTACAGTATGTAGATTATTTTGTTTATGTTCCATTAGCTGTTGTATATTTTAAATTGACACCAGGAAGAGCCTGACAACAACAAGAAGACCCTGGTTACAAAGTGTGCAACATTTTTGCAGAGCGACATCTATGAGACTGGCCTGGATTCATTGGTGTTGATGCTATTTGTTGCATGGTTTTGCATTTTTTTGGCTACTTTTTGTTAATGTTTATCAGCAAGCCTTGGATTTGGGGCCAAAGAAAGCTGGCCTACAGCAGTGTCGCCATAGAGATTTCAAGGGTTTTCTTTTGGAGGCTCCACAAGAATCAAAGTTAAGGGTATAGACTTGCCGGTTTGCCAAGACGGGCAGTTTTGTCCGACTAAAGGCTTGACTGTCTTGACTTACAGTATATGTTTAATCAAACCGATTGACGTTTGTACATGCAAACGGTCATGTTCAAAGGCTTGGGGTACATTTGGAGGACAGCTTCACCACTGCATTGCATTTCTTTCTTTCTATATACTCTCCAAAAAGTGGCCAATGAAGGATTTGGGGCCCCTCCACATAGACTAATCTAGTCTGTAGACAAACGTGAGGGTTCCTAGGTAGCACCTAGCAAAATGGGTGATATTTCGTTGCACTCCTTTCGCTACGGCAGCACATGCCAAGCTATTCTTTAACATGCCACATGTCACATGTCCCAACGAACTCGGGTCATGGATTCCACTCAGACGGAGCAAATCGTTTCAACATGTTGCCATGGGTCACCCAAGTGCCTTTTTAGTCTGTTTATCGGAAGTTTTGGCTCTACGACGCCGCGCTGAGGAGTTGGTGATTGGCTTGTTGATCATCGTCAACTCTTTGGTGATGGCTGTGGAGTTTGAATTTCAAGGCCGAGTTTCGTATCAGTTTGCTTCCTATTTCTACCGGATGTCGTGGAAGGCTCCCAAGCTTGGCTTATGTCGTGGTGTGTGGTTCGGAGTCTACAGACCCAGCTTCACCAGAGGGGCAGGATCAGTCTGCATAGACCCTTGGGCCCTTGGGAAGGCAGGGCCTGGTAGAAAGGTTAAACTGCTAAACCCTCGCGCCATCTCTATCCAGATGATAGATTGTGATTGTGTCGAAGTGAACCCTGGCAAAGAAAGTGTTCAATATTGAAAGATTGACCCCAACTGCTGCCTGTCGTGAATACTACCTATTCAATCGTTGTTGTTGGTTTTCTCCAGGCTATGTGGTGGGACATAGCTTGGGATATCCTCGGATGCATGGACCTCCTGAGGAGGCCTGGGAATGTCTTGGATGTCTTGCACTTTGGCTAGTCTTGCAAAAATATCCTGGATGAAACCTCACTGTTTGCAGCTGATATGGTTTCTCTTCCTGGTGTTCAAATCTGCAAGGTCAAGAGGTGACCACTGTCGATTGATCGATTGATCGTTCTTTCCAATTGCAATGTTGTGGCTCTGTGTGGAGTATTTGCCGAAGCGATGGGGAAAAGAACGGAACATATGTTTTCTTGATAGGCTTTGTACAGAAAATGCGGCATTCTGCTCCAGTCTCAGTTTTTAATGGCACGAAAGATTGCCATACCAGCGAGATAAGACACACCAGTTGAAATGAAAGCTCACCAGTAGCGCTGCCCTTTGTTACTAGTAGCTTCTTGTTACTATTAGTAATGCCAGGA